TCAAGGATTTGGAGGTCAATGACACTAGAAAGACTTTGATTTACCAAAAAGGTTGCAGTTTTTAGAGCTTCTCCCCAAAAGAATTTTGGAAGCCCTGAACTGTGTAACATACATTTGACCTTTTCTAAAACGGTCCTATTCATTCTTTCAGCTACCCCATTCTGCTAACGGTTGTATGTCACAGTTCTATGCCTTAATATTCTAGATTCTTTACAAAAGGAATCAAATTCCAGATTGCAAAACTCAAGGCCATTCTCAGTCCTTAGTGCTTTGATCTTCTTATCAGCTTGATTTCCAATCATAGTTTTCCACTGTTTAAAATTTTGGAAGGTATCAGACTTTTGTTTTAATAAAAAAGTCCATACTTTTCTAGAAAAATCATCCACTATGAGTAGATAAAATCTAAATCTACTACGGGTGTTAGTGGATGCTGGACCCCATAGGTCAGCATGAAGATAGTCCAAAATAGAGGTGGATTTATGAGTTCCAGATTTAAAAGGTAATTTATTCTGTTTGCCAATTACACAGTCTTCACAAAAGCTTAGTTTTTCAAAGTTATCTTTTCCCAAAAATCCCAGTTTGTTTAAAATAGTTAATCCGTTATCAGACATGTGGCAAAGTCTCCAGTGCCAGATCAAAGACTTATCACATTGTGAATCAATAGCTGCAGAGTTGTAGCCTACCAGAGGTTTAGCTTGCAGAGTGTAGATACCATTGGTCTTAGGAATAGAGACAACTTCTTTGTCATCAGATATCAGCTTGATAGAGCTTTTATGGATTCTTATATCATAGTTTTCATCTAACTCTCCCAGAGCAATTAGATTTCTTTTTAGTTCAGGTACATACCTCACTTTTTCTAGTTTGAGTACAAAATTATTTTCTATCAAGAGATCCATCTCTTTTATCTGACAACTCATGTCATGTCACATCTGCACTTCCCCCCATTCAGATCAACAAAATCAGAGAACCAATCTTTAATGGGGCACATGTGAAAAGTGCACCCAAAATCTAAAACCCACTCATTTGGGTTTCTATTGATGGTATTAACAAGGACAGCCCCTTGTATATCTGGTTCTCCTTTGCAGACAATAGCTGCAGAATCATTAAAATTCTATTTTTCTTTTGTATCAGATAATTTCTTAAAATAGTCTTTAATCATGTGTCCTGTTTTACCACAATAGTAGCATTTTCTAATTTGATTTTTGGATTTTACTTGCTTTCTGTTTTTGTCTCTCAATTTTGAATTTTGGGGTTTACCTCTTTTATGGGAGTTGAGGTTATACATAACATTCTTCTTATTTTGATTCTGTTTTTCTTTTATGTGTAAGCCTTCACCATATCTAGAATCCTTTAACTCAACTTTCAATTCAAGTTTCCTATTTCTTAGGAAAGAGATTATTATGTCAATTGTAAGATCTTGCCCCCCATATTCCAAGGCATTTCTTATCTCCATATATCTGTCACTTAAAGAGTTTAGAAGGTCAACAACTTGTTGATCTTCAGAGAGATTTTCATCACAATTTTCTATATCCTGAACTAGTTTAACATATTTATCAATGTTTTCTTCTAACCCTAAGGATGTATCAAATCTAAAATTGTAAAACTACCTTAGAAGATAGCATTTATTTGGAATAGATTTAGTTAGGTAAAGGGATTCCAGCTTATCCCACAAGGCTTGTGCGGAGGTAGTTTCACCAACTTTTCTAATTACACTATCAGACAGATAAAGGAAAATAGAACTCTAAGCAATATCATCTAATTCTTATCTTCTATATGCACTAGTTTCAACAGGATAAGAGTTATCAATAGCATGTGCACATATTTGTTGTAACAACAGAGCCCTCAATTTTTGTCTCCATAAACTAAAGTCACCATTTCCATTCCATACATCAATCTCAATTTTGTGTGCAGTGGATATGATGATAAATGTAGTGACAAAATCACAGATATTGTAATTAAACGTGCAATTCTCAATTCTTGAAAAGGTTTAAGGGGTGGTTACCCTTTGTTCCAATACTCCATCAGATTCCCAGGTCCTCAAATGAGACCTTGGACAAAGGAAAGCACTGGAGGGTGACTTACCTTAATAACCAATTTCAAAGACTGACACAGGTAAATCAACAATAATAAGAAGAGGGTACAGAGTATACTAGAGACGATGCAAGAATTTAGTATAAGCACAGACAACTCACTGTTGATAGTGACTCAGTGGGAACTCAATAAGAATTGGAACGTGTTGATTTAGCTCACCAAGGACTTAGAGTGAGTCAAGAGTATCACCGTGACTCGGTAGTGAGTTTAAAATTTGACTCACCAAAGAACTCAGCACAAACAGCAGATTTCACAAAGTTAAGAACGAGTCAAAAAAGGAACTCGATGAATATCAAAAGATCTTACAGATCAACCTACAGAGTATTCAAGATTTCAAGGAGTACAATTTTTTTTCCATCAAATTTTCAGAGAAGTATAATTTTTTTTTAAAAAAAAATTCAAGTCTCAAAGATTTACAAATAAAAAAGGTTTAAACAAAAACTTAGGGTTTTTAAAAAATGTATCTAGATCCTCCAGTAAAGATGCTCTAATACCACTTGTAAGTTCTTAAGAGGTTAAATGAATACAGATTATCGCAAGATTCACTGAAAAATTAAAATTGCAGAAAAATAGAAATTGAACGCAAAGGATTTTTTTGCCACAAAGGCCCGGATGTTCAGTCTTATGGCCTACTTACCACGTTGAGCATCTACTAAGTAGATTTAGCTCTAGACCTACTAGAAAATTAATCAAGAATGTTACAAATGTATGAAGAAACACAAAGTTTCTTCACTGTTTTTGATCTCGCCTCACAAACAACTATCACAACACCACCACAAACTTGCACGAAGCAGTATCACAATTATACATCAAGTGTAGTATCAAAATCACTCAGATTTATAGAAGAGATTTTCACTCAAAAAATACCGGTGGTGTGAGAGAAAAGAGAAACCCTAGAATAACACTCAGAATAGATCTCTCTAGAAGAGAATGAGGCGTCCAAAATGTTTTAATCAAGTAAGTTAATGGTCATTGATCAAGGAGATGGCCAGATTTATGGCCAGATCATATCTTCAAAAAGGGCAGAAA